GGTTTGATTTCTCACCACGAAAATTGCTCGTGGTGGCAACTTGGTGAAGTGTGCACTGTGCACCAAGGCCACCACGGCAATCGGCAACAAAATCACTCGCAGACCAATCAAAATTAGCGCTGCCGTCACATGATTTCAAAATGGCGGGCCCAATTTTATCGACTTGGGCCACCGAGTCAGTTAGAAGCAAAATTAATAGATTTATGGAGTGAGATGCCTTGTCTTTTTAACATCAAAGCTCCCAAATACAGCAACAGAGTACTAAAGGCGATGGCCATAAGTAAAGTGTCCCAACTTCTTGGACAACCAAACGTCTGTTCCGTATACTAGTGATCCATGTCCTCTGGTGCCGCCGTAGAATGACATAAATCTATACAAATATAGGGCCCCTAGGCCTAAGTAACAGAAATGTTGATTGTATATATTTCCTTTATTTGATAACTGTATGTGAATGGGTTAAAGCTACAACATCTGGCAAGAAAAATTGCCGTCAACAGCACACGTCACCACTCAGTGGTGACGTGTGCTGTGAAGCGGCAAAGGCCACAAAAATTGCCGACCACGAAAATTGCTTGTACGAGCAACGAAAATGGTGAAGTGTGCTGCATGCTTAACTGTATACAGTCATCAACGCATAATTATTCGTCCTTCGAGAATTCGTTCCAAAAGCGATTGTTTCCTGAATAAAGACGGTTATATATTAATCATGCGTAACCGGTCGTGAAAAATTATACGACCATTTGCTTCTTGTGTTGTCAACGATCATTAATGGCATATGACAGCCGAAATGTTGGTATTCTATTTATAATATTGTTCACGTAACTGTTTACAGTCATCAACGCATAATTATTCGTCCTTCGAGAATTCGTTCCAAAAGCGATTGTTTCCTGAATAAATACGGTTATATATTAATCATGCGTAACCGGTCGTGAAATATTATACGACCATTTGCTTCTTGTGTTGTCAACGTCCTTTCTCTCGGGACGATATACGAACTAATTTGGTTCAACCAACGCGCGTGGAATATGCTTATACCGTGTGTGTCACTATTTGGCAGAGACGCGGCTAATGTGAGCGTGTGAGTGACCTGCAATCTTGTTTGTCTAATATAATAGCCCCACGCCACAAGAGACTGTCACTACATGCGCATTCCATACATACATACACGCACGCACGCACGCACGCACACACACACACACATACATACATATATATGTAGCATCTCGCCGGGTAATGAATACGGAACTTATTTGCTAAATGTGATATAAGCCCACGGATGCGTATATTTTCATCAGGAATGAGGATGGAGTAGAAGAGTTGCATGAGTCAGCAATAGACGATGGTTTTGCCGACGCGCCCGGCATGCGATGTAAGAATGTTCTAATAACGTGATGTAGTGTTCACTTTGTAACTTTGTTGTGTTATACCAGTTTTCGAGTGACGTAGTGTCGTTCTTGTTATGTAGTGTTGCTCCTATAAAGTAGTGTTTTCTGTGTGATGTAGTGTTCTCCTGTGATGTAGTATTGCTCCTGTGAAGTAGTGTTTTACGTGTGATGTAGTGTTGCTCCTGTGATGTAGTGTTTTACTTGTGATGTAGTGTTGCTCCTGTGATGTAGTGATTTACGTGTGATGTAGTGTTAATTCTGTGTTGTAGTGTACCGCTCTGGAAACGTTGGCAAGAAGTATTTCCCTGATCTCCTTGTTAAATCTGCACGATTCAAGAGTTCGACAACTAACCAGCAGCTTTTCAATCAAGTCCCGTATCAACGTCACGGCGTCTGTGTTAGACACCATCAGTGGGCGGAGTAGGTAGGTGCTTATTAACGCACGCCGTCGTGGTGGGTGAGAGTGAGCGGCGGCATACTTCAAGGCTTCACCGCTGCGCTTACTGGTACGCAACTCTAACGACAGGGGGTTGGAATCGCGAGTGTGTGTGGCCGGCGGCGATGGAGCGGCGGAAAGTAAGTACGGAAGTGTAAAACATGACGTGACGCGTATATATATGTAAATAAATAAATAAAATGTATTTAAGAAAAATATATATATATATATGCGCGTGCGCGTGCGTGTGTGTGCGTGCGTGTGTGTGTATTTGTGTGTGTGTGTGTGTGTGTGTAGATATGCTTTGTATATGACGAGGTGTGTCGGTTGGACGGGGTGGGAGGGGGAGGTCTATGAGAGGGTCGTGAATTATTCCCAATTTCATTATAAAG